ATCTTCCACGAGTGTGACTAATATGGAAGTATGTTTTACGTGATAGCACATGTATAAACTATATCAAACTGCCTACCATTTTCAAAAGAGGGGATTAGAGGGAGGGAGGGAGAAAAATCTGGAACTCAAAATCTTGAAAAAATGAATGCTAAAAATTTTCTTGATATGTAATTGGGGAAAAAATAAAATGCTATTAAAAATAAAAACAAATTATTGATGGAAATCCTGAAATTTATCTAGCATAGAGATCTCAACTTCCTTATTAGCCAGAAATGTGTAATTTCCTTAATGCTTTATAAGGTATCATCAAAAGGAAACTTTTTTTTTTCTGTCCTCTTCACATCTTTGCCCTGAATGAAAGGAATTTATCGTGTTAATTTAGTATGAGCAATTTCATTTTATTTTTAGGCCTCAATTTTGTGATTGAACAGTTGTTATGTGATTTTTCTGCAATGAGTACTTACGTATAGTTTGTCAATGAAATATGTCCCCAAAATTTGGTAAACCACTACTATGTCTCCCAAATCTGGTAACTTGTTTTGAAGAATATTTTAATTTTATTTTTTCTCATCTACATGCAAAAATAATTTTAACATTCATTTTTTATATTTTTTGAGGTCCAAATTCTCTCTATCTTTCCCTCTCCCCTCCTTAAGAAGACAAGCACTTTGATATAGATTATTCATGTGCTGTCATGCAAAACATATTTCCATATTAGCCTTGTTGCAAAAGAGAACAAAAAAGAAAGGAAAAAAGAAAGAAAGAAAAAGGAAGGAAGAAAAAGAAAATAAGTTTAAAAACTGTTTTGATCTGCATTCAGACTCTGTCAATTCTTTCTCTGGAGGTAAAGAGCATTTTTTGCATCATAAATCCTTTGGAATTGTCTTGGATCATCATATTGATGAGAATAATGTCATTCACAGTTGATCATTGTATAATATTGTGTTATTGTGCATAAAAATCTCTTGGTTCTGCTTTGCTCACTTCACTTTGCATCAGTTCATATAAGTCTTCTCAGGTTTTTCTGAAACCATCCTGCTCATCTTTTCTTATAGCACAATAGTGTTCCATTACAAGCATATGGCACAACTTGTTCAGCCATTCCCCAGCTGATTGACATCCCCTCAATTTCCAATTCTTTGCCACCACAAAAAGAGCTGCTATAAATATTTTTGTACATATAGGTTCCTTTCCTTTTTCTATGTTTTCTTTGGGATGCTAGACCAAGTAGTGGTATTACAGGGTCAAAGAGTATGCACAGTTTGGTTGCCCTTTGGGCATAGATACAAATTGATATCCAGAATGGTTGAATCAGTTCACAACTCCACCAACAGTGCATTAGTATCCTAATTTTTTCATATCCCCTCCAACATTTATTACTTTTATTTTTTATAGTATTAACCACTTTGAGAGGTGTGAGGAGGTATCTCAGAATTTATTTAATTTTCATTTCTAATCAATAGTGATTTAGAGCATTTTTTCATATGATTGTAGATAGCAGTGATTTCTCCTAAAAATTCCCTGATTGTATTCTTTCACCATTTGTCAATTGGGGAATGATTCATATTCTTATAATTTTGACTCACTTCTCTACATATTTGAGAATATGTATTTATCAGAGAAATTTGTAAAAAAAAAATCTCCAGTTTCCTGTTTTCCTTCTAATCTTGGCTGTATTGGTTTTGTTTGTGCAAAACCTTTTTAATTTGATGTAATCAAAATTATCTATTTTATATCCCATAATGCTTTCTATCTCATTTGGTCATAAATTCTTCCCTTATCCATTGATCTGACAGATAGAGTATTCCATGCTCCAATAATTTGCTTTTGATATTACCTTTTATGTCTAAATCATGTGGCCATTTTGACCTTATCTTGGTACATGGTGTGAGATGTCGGTCTGTACCTAATTTCTGTCAAACTGCTTTCCAATTTTCCTGGCAGTTTTTGTCAAATAGAGAGCTCTTGTCTCACCACTTTCCTGTTAGAATGTAAGCTCCTTGATGGCAGGGACTGTTTGTATGCAGGCATACATTGTTTTATTATGCTTTGCAGATACTGCTTTTCTTTTTAAAGAAACTGAAGGTTTGTGGCAATTCTGCATTGAAAGAGTCTATCAGTGCCATTTTTCCAATAGTATGTGCTCCCATTATGTCTCTGTGTCACGTTTTGTGTAATTCTCACAGAATTATAAACTGAACCAATATTTGTTATAGTGATCTGTGATCAGTAATCTTTGATGTTGCTATTGTAATTGTTTTGGGCCACAAACCAAGCCCATATAAGATGGTGAATTTAATCAATAAATGTTTTGTTTTGACTGCTCCACCGACTGGAAGTTCTCTGGTCTCTTTCCTCTCCTCAGGCCTCCCATTCCCTGTGACACAACAATATTAAAATTAGGCCAATTAATAACCTTACAATGGCCTCTAAGTGTTCAAGTGAAAGAAGAGTCAATAGACACTGTGAACTTGTTTTCTTATTTTAAGAAACTGCCACAGCTACCTCAACCTTCAGCAGCCACCACCCTGATCAGTCAGCAGCCATCAACATCCAGGCAAGACCCTCCACTAACAAAAAGATTTATCACTCATTGAAGGCTCATTTTTTTAGCAATATTTTAAAATTAAGGTATGTATACTTTTTTAGCTATTATACTATTGTACACTTTAACAGACTACAACATAGTGTAAACATAACTTTTATATGCACTGGGAAACCAAAAATTTCATGTGGTTTACTTTAATGCAATATTATTTGCTTTATTGAAGTAGTCTGGAACCAAACCCACAATATCTCCAAAGTATGCCTGTATTTTGTATCCAACAATTAGTGTTGGAATATAGTTAAGTATTTAACAAATGCTTTTCCAGTAATACTCCATGGTGTTTGGATACTCAGTCTCCAGGGTGATTAGATAGAGATATAATTTCTTTTCTTGTTTGCTAGCTTTTAAAAAGATGTATTCCAAAAATCAGTTTTACAAGATGAAGGAAGTATAGTTAGTTGTTTGGTTAAAAGATTTTGGTGGAGGGGTAGGGGATTAGATTAAAGTTCAGTGACTCATTACTGTGTGATGTGGCAATATCAGTATAATGTGGCAATATCAGTATAATGTGGCAACCAAAAAAGCTAAGGTGATATTGTTCTATTACAGGTGGCATTTTTCCACTATTCAGGTAACACTGGGAGTTATGTTCAGTTTCAGGTGCCACAGCTTAGGAAGTATATTGATAATATGGGAAGTATCCAGAGAAGAGCAGCTAGGATAATGGGGGACCTTAAGTCCATGTTCTGTGAGGATCAGTGAAGGAACTAGACGCGTCTATCTTGGAGAAGACTGGGGGCGGGGGAGTGGGGAATGGAAGGACATGATACCTGCATTCAAATGTGTAACGGGCTAACATTCTGGAAGGTTAGACTTGTTCTGTTTGGCCTAAAAGAACAGAACCAGAAGCGAGTTGCAAAGAGGTTAGTGTAAGCTTGATGTCAGGAAAAACTTCCTAACAAATGGAGCTATCCATATGGAACAGCATTACCTTGGGAGGTGATACGTACCTCTTCCTTGCAGGTTTTCAAGCAGACTTGGATGATCATTTGTCAGGTATGATGGGGATTTCTTTTCAGATATCGATTGGTTTAGGTGGCTACTGTGAGCCCTTCCAAGTCTAAAGTTCTCATTCTTAGGTAGCTGTTCTTTGCAGTTTGGGAGAACAATTAGCTGCAATTAGGCTTTAGAACCCTAGAATATCAGAGCTGAAAGGGATCAATAGAATATGTAGTCCTCATTTTGCAAATGAAGAACCTGAGGTTGTAGGGCACAAAACTGTGGATTTGGAGGTGCTAGGTTAAGTTTTCAGCTAATACTGGGTGACTTTGTGCTGCCACAGTCCAGCTGCAATTATGTTGCCATTACTATCATTTCAGTTGTGTCTGACTCTTTGTGACCCTGGGGTTTTATTAAAGATACTGGAGTGGTGTGCCATTTCCTTTTCCAATTCATTTTACAGATGAGGAAACTGAGGCAAACAGGGTTAAGTGACTCGGCCAGGGTCACAGAGCTGATATTTGAGGCCAGATCTGAACTTCGGAAGACAAGTCCTGACTCCAGGCCCAGTATTCTATCCACTGTGCCACATAGCTGCACAGAAGCTGTGATTCTCCAGTTCCCTTAATCCCTGAGCCTCAGTTTCCCCATCTGTAAATTCAGTAGGTGGTACTAGAGGGTCTCTTAATGACCCTTCTAGCATTTAACAGCATGACAGAAAAACAGCTTGTCTATCAGTTAGATCTTCTGATAGTATTTGAAGAAAACCAAGAAATAAAAACTTGAAGAGTAAGAATTTAGTGACTATGAGTAACTTAAATATCAAGAAACAACCATGGCATTTTTGAAGAAAAATTTTATACTTGGTTTACAGCCAAGATTTTCTTCTGAGCAAGCTCTTTCAGGTCTAAAGGGACCATAAATTTAAAGCTGGAAGAGATCTAGTCCAACCTTCTCATTTTGCAGATAAGGAAATGGAGATCCAGAGAAGTTTTTATTTGCCCAATGAATCCAGGTCCTTGGGCTCCAAACCCAGTGCTCTTTCTGTATCACAGCCCTTGGAATAGGTTATATATTCTACCTATAGAATTTATGTATATTTTATTATAGATTAGTGTAAAAGTTATGGTAAGTAAAATACAATTTTGTTAGTGGAATTACCAGTGTTTTTCTTCATCTATTTAGTGGCAAGAAATCTACTTTGATGAGTATAATGGTTTGTGTAGTGGTTTAACATATGATTTAGTCCTTATTTTAAAATTCCAAGTTTTTTAGCATTATTTATCCCATCTAAGTTAAAGAAAAGTAATGAAGCAATTTCTCATTAAAACACAATTTTATTCTATTCCTAAAATTGGAATCACTAATTTTGGAGCTGGAAGTAAAAAAAAAAAACAGTGGGGGGAAGCTATAACACCACCCAATGTTTAAGTAATACTCAGATACCAGCCACTGAAACTGCCATTTTTATTAAGCTCAGCAACAATTTTAAAAATGAAGATTTTAATGGAATGATAAGTACATTTAAAACACAGGAAATTTAACAAGTACATTCGAATGCTTACATTATATATTTACATTCATGTGAAATGTACAAAGGCATATGTTTGTGTATCCTTTGTATTTGGTACCTTTATATAACCAGCACTTATGCTTATTTTCTAAATGCCATTTTATATATGATCACTTGAAAATTAGTACAGTTTCCCCTGTGAGATAGAATAAATTCTGTTCATACTGACAGTACTCAATAAAAATTACTTGTCCTTAGATGTTTATTTTAAGCTAATGTTATACCAAGAGAAGTTATCTAATCCGTAATACATGGGTTTCTTGGTATCAGGCTGTCTTGTTTGGTTTATAGACTTAAGTGGCTCATAATAAATGAGGCAGTAAAAAGAGTGAGAGGATGACAATCCTGAAGACTTAATACTTCATGCCATAGATGAAATCACAACACACAATGAGCTCAGATAATTATGCTGAAAATCTGATAATTTTAAAAGCACCCATTTAAAAAGCTTAAGTTTGTCATTTTATAATGAGATGACTTAAAAAAATCACAGAAATAATGAAGGTGGTACAAACATTACTAAACCTAAGACTTCTGTTAGGTTTTTAAGTCTGAACAGTTAACATCCAATTATTCTAACAAAGTCGCTCAATTTGGGGATGGAATTCCTTAAGCTGAAAAGGGTCACCATTATCATTTAAGAGTAGGTGCCTATTATTTAAAATTTCTCCTACTGGAAAATTTGTAAAGTCACCTTTGAAAAAATTAAACCCAAAGAGATGCTTTCTTATCAATACATGAAACAAGCAATTTTCTGATGAACAAAAGCACTCCTTATAAGAAAATATACAGATAAGAAGTTTTTCTACAAAGTAATTTTTACATTATTTTTGTACAAGGGCATATTAATTCCAACTATGCAAATTTAATCCTCAAATAATATTGAATTTAACTTAAACATATACATAACACATTAAAAACAGATTGGACAAAAGAAATTTCCCCCTTCAATAATACTCCAGATGTCTAAATATTGCAGCATAAGTGATCACTTTAACAACAACCTCCATAATGTAAAAGATTTTAACTTAAATGGTCAATGAAATCTTTCTGGAAATGCACTTAAATAAACAATGGTCTCAGGCTGCTGTTTCAACCTAAGAAAGCTTTTCAACACCAATTTGCAATCCTCTGAAAATAGAAGACTGCATAATGGCAATAATATCATACTGTAGAGTGACATTATCAAAGCCACTACGGTATATACTAGTGGGGTTTTTCCCACCACCTTTCTTCTTCCACCACAGGTATACAGTAAACATCAGACACTCAAAAAAAATTGTGTAGCTTTTTTAATATATAAAATTATAACTGACAAAACATTCAGGACATCTTTGTTTTAAATATTTAAAGACAGTAACAAAAGACCCTTTTACCTGAATATATGTAAAGCGTACAAGCAGCTCTGAAAACATTTAAATGGACACATGGTGTACAACAAGAAACTTAAATGAATGGCTTTGAGAAGTAAAGGTTTATTGTGTTCTTTTTTCCCCCCTAATAATTTTTTTGGGGTGTGGGAAGCTGGTTCCAGTTTTTTCATTTCTTCTCCTCAGATGTTTCTTTTTGTTCAATTGCATCTTCTGTTTTGTTATCTGGAGTCTTTTTAGATGCACTGCTGTCTACACAGGAAAAAAAAGTAATTGCATAGGTTTTACAAGATTCAGATAAATCCAAATAGCATTTTCTAGCAAAAAAAAAAATGAGCAAAACAATAATTGTTAATGAAAGTAGAGATCCATTGGAACTTTGAAAATATTTAAGCAATGCTATTTACATTTTACTACTTTATAGGTCAGCATTATAGTGCTCAAAACTAAGATATCAGGGTACACAGCAATATTATTGAATTAATAAAATAACATGATACCAGGGAGAACTGCAGCTAATTCAATTCAATAAACATTAATTAACAGCCTTCTATGCACCACATACCAGAGACAAAGATAAAAACAGTCCCTTCAATTCAAGGAGCTTATTTTTGAAAGTGGGGGAAGAGAATAATTTGCACACATATAAAGACAAAACGTATATACAAAGTAATTTCAATGTGGGTTAAGCTCATCAATAACAACTGAGGATAGGAAATGGGAATTAGTAAAGGGCTTTTGTAGAGGTGGCAAAACTTCAATTACCTTTAAGGCCAACACGATTTTTTGAATTCTTGATTATGGAAATCTGGGATCAATTAGTCCTACAGATAGGGACATAAGAGCATCAGGGTATAAAGGCAAAAGCAGTTGGCCAAAGTATTTTTGTGTCTCTAGGCCTCAGTTTCCTCATCTATAAAAAAAATGAGGGTGTCATCATACTTCGTAATAGAACATTTCTCACATGAATAAGGTAGGACCATGTATTGGAAAAAGCTCAGGGGTACAGAAGAAAACAAGGTGTTTATTGTAGATAATGTCCACATGGTTAGGATTATAGGACAAGTTCATTTTTGATTTCCAGTGTACTTTTTAAGTGCAGCTGGGACTCCTATCATGGAGAAGGCTAAGAACCACACTATCCATGGATATCTTTTCTTGAATATTGAACCAAGTACCAGACTCAGCTATAGCCTGGGTAAAAGAACTTCAGAGTTAAGCCTATATTGTCCCAATAATTTAGTAGCCATTTCTTTTGCTATAATGCTTTCATTGGGAAGGTATTGTCCCACTTCAATGGGACAGAGCAAAGATAATCCATCTGTTGTTTCACAGTCTACTATCAATCAGTTTGTCCTGATTCTCAGATTGCATTTGCTTCTTTTAGACAAAAATATTGAACACATACCTTACAATCATCCAAGCCCAACTGTATACCATTTTCCTAGGTCGGCATTTCTTAAACCATGCTCAACAGAACTCTGATGTTTTGTGACTAAGGCCTCTATGAGAAAATTTTGATCTAGTGGCATATTCCCCTAAAATATTTAACGAAAAGTAATGTAGCACAGTGGATATTAGGCTAGCCTTGAATGCAAGACGCCCTAGATTTAAGTCCTGTCTGTGACAAGTAGTAGTCCAAGTCAGTTTACACTTCAATGTCCCTGCCAACTTTCAAACCATAAATTATAGAAGAGTTGCATGCATGCATATCTATCTATCTATCAATCAATCAATAGAGTATCCATACTGGGAGTTTCTAGACTCCCTGTCTCATACCATAAAACAAATGAAATTATATACTTTAATAATTCAAAGGGCTATAATTTCAGTGTAGGAACTTGTCACTGACACAGAATATAGCTTCTATAGCTGAGGGGCTGGTCTTAGTCACCTAGAATTTATTAAATGACTGCCATGTGACAGACACTAAGCAAAGCCCTGTAGATACAAAGAAAGGCAAAAAATAGTCCTTGCTTCCAAAGAGCTCACGGTCTAAGTAGCTAATGAGCAATTCTCTGAGATGCTATGAGTTTAAAAAAAAAAAATCACCTAACAACCAATCGGGTGATAAACTCCCTTTTTTTTTTTTTTGGTGAGGTAATTGAGGTTAAGCGACTTGCCCACAGCTAGTGAGGGTTATGTGTCTGAGGCCGCATTTGAACTCAGGTCCTTTTCAACTCCAGGGCCAGTGCTCTATCCACTGCGCCACCTAGATGCCCCAAACTCTCTTCTCCAAACTTAGCTATATTGATGCTTGGATAGATAGGATACATCCATCATCAAGCTAATACCTGAGGCTTTAGTTGTTCAATAGCTCTTGCCAGGGGTTATGTTCTACTATCATCTTCAAGAATCCAGAATTTTGAATTTAGAGGAGGAAATAATAATGAATGTATCGGAAGTCCTATTCTGATCCCCCATTGTAGATGATGGTGACCCTGGGTTCTCAGAGATGATGCCAGCACAGCACAAGCTCTGGCAGTTTCTACCATGCTGGAAAGGCTTCAAATATAGCATATCTGGCAAGTCTACATCTATTTATCAAGGGCCAGGCTACATGAGTATAAGGGAGCTCATCACCAGTAGACATGTTACTTTATGAATTCCTTGATGATGACAAGCCAAGAAAAATACAAAATGTCCCTTATTATTGGGTGATCCACTTCTGCAGGAAAGGTATCAGAAATGACAGAAAATGTGACAGAGGGAGCTGAGACTCTCATAGATTTTAAATTGTCTATAAATATTAATTTAGCTTAGCTACTAATACTCTAAACATGAGATCCTTTTAAAATAACCAACAAGTAGATGTAATGGAGGAACTGAGTGGTATTGAAACTGATATTTTTGCTATAAATGAAATAAGATAAAAGGAAGTTGCAACTACACTGAAGAATGGCTCAAAGTTTCTCTTTGAAGAGGCAAATAAAGGAGTTGATGAAATTGGTTTTATAGTGCAGCCAAGGGCAACAAGAAACATAATTTCACAGGGCCATCTGGTTATAGCTATAGCAGTGCTAATAACTACTTACAAAAAATGTTACCATGACAATAACTGTAGCTAACATACCAACAGCTACTGTAGAGGATGAGATTAAGAAATTCTATTAAGAACTTAATCACAGCCTCCAAATTAAATCAAGATGTACTTGGTGACTTAAAGGACTTCCTGCAAAGATGAACAGGGGAAAACAGTGAACCCTTTGGTTTAGGAATAAGGTATGTGAAAGAATAATCCCTTGCCTATATATTATAGATATTCTCTTGGAGAAAGATTTATGGCAAAAAATGAAATTGATTCTATTTTAATGGACAGAAAACAGCTTGTTTTTGATGTGAGTCCTTCCTAGATAAGCTAAGTGCAGAGAGTTTTTACCATCGAGTCTTATTAGAGCAAAGACCAAAATTAATACAAAGTTAGAGAATAAAAGGGACTTTGTGTTCAATTAAAACAACTCCAACCAGACTTTTAAAAAATCATATTAATGCCAAAAAGAAATAGATGGAAGGAAGTACACTGTAATAGATTAACCATTTCCTAGAGAATTTTAAGCAAATCAATTAATTGCCACGAGGACACCAACAAAGTCTAGAAGCAACCTTAGGCAACAACGTTTGATCTCATTATTAAGGAGAGAAATATGGAAGCAAAGAGCAACAGCAGTTTAAAATAGTAAACATGTTTGTAAAAATCTTATAGATGAGAATGGTGGAAAATCATGAGCAGTAGTGCCTCACAAAATGGGAAGGAGAAGAAAAAACAAATTTAAAGAAAGTTTGGTGAGAACTGAAAAATGGAAAAGATCTGTCAAGATTTATATGACAAACTCTCTTCATCATTAAATGCAGAGGGGGAACCATATTTGGATTTTAACATTATAGTACTAAATATGTTGTATGAGTAATTGGAAACCCAAGTGAAGAAAACAAAGATTGGAAGAGTTTGATTACATCAAGTATATACAGAGAAAAGACATCCTACAGGTGATAATTTTGAGAGTATTGAGGAATCAGTTTTCAAGGTATATACAAAAGAGGGGATAACAAAAAAACATGGAAAAAATACTGGATCTTTTTGTTACCCGTCTCCTCACTCCCTAAAAGGTGAGTGGTAGAATGCTAAAAACCACCAACCTACATGCCTACTTTCCTATCACTATAAAGTTTTGTAAGCATAATCTATATACACAATGGAGAGATCCTTGATGAAGTGTGACAAGGGAATAGGTAGGCTTCTGCAAATGATCTTCTACAGTAGACATCATCTCTACAAGGGCAACAAGATCCCATAATTTAATGAAAGGCGCAGTATTTATATGAACCCACTGTGATTGTTTAACTATGAAAAGGCTTTTGAATTTGGGCAGAACAAGCTGTCACCTTATAGGCACTCTTCCAACAAGATTTTTCTTACGCATATGTTAAAATCATACAAGGTTCTTTTTTTTTTTTGCTTAGGCAGTTGGGGTTAAGTGACTTGTCCAGGGTCACACAGCCAGTACGTGTCAAATGTTTGGTCTGAGGCCAGATTTGAACTCAGGTCCTCCTGACTCCAAGGTCAGTGCTCTATGCACTGCACCACCTAGCTGCCCCTTAAAACTAATTTGGATAGTCTCATCTTTTTAAAGCAATCAAATTGGAATATTGTTAAGCATATAAACACAAGACCAATGAATTTTTTTGTGTGTGTGAGGCAACTGGGGTTAAGTGACTTGCCCAGAGCCACACAGCTAGTGAGTGTTATGTGTCTGAGGTCACATTTGAACTCAGGACCTCCTGACTGCAAGGTCAGTGCTCTATGCACTGCACCACCAAGCTGTTCTATACAAGGTTCTTTAACAGGGCTCAGATTCTTAAAATCTAGCCACTGTGTAGATTCTTATAATCTAGCAAATAGCTTGTTCAGACTCCTTAAGAGTCTGCCCAATATGATGGATGTTCTAATAAACCTTGTCTTTGGCTGAAAGAAGGCTTGGGTCGAATTCTTTCGGGCAGGACCCGTGTGTTGTGATATTGGGGTCCCAGGACCCCTGAACCTCGAAACCGCATCATTTTGGTGGCCCGTACAGGGAAACTGCCTAACCCCAAGTTCTTCTCCAGCCAAGACTAGAAGGTATGTAAGCCTCCCTTCCCTCCTTTCTTGCTCTGCAGTTGGGGTTGCTCTCCAAACACCAAGCCTTGGAGGTGCTTTTCTGACGGACAGTTACAAGGCTGTCTCGCACTCGGCCTGACACTCTCAGGCTCTTGGT